CTTTCCCTCTCTTACTTCTCTCTCTGGTTACTAATTAGTTTTCTATGGTCTATCAGCCTGATATTGCTGCCCCAGGAATAGACATCTTAGCTGCTTACTCAAAGCAGACGACCATAACTGGTTATCCAATGGATAAACGAAGAGCTGTCTTCAACATAATATCAGGAACATCCATGGCGTGCCCACATGTAGCCGCGGCCGCAGCCTACGTCAAGTCCTTCCACCCCGACTGGTCTCCTGCTGCTATCAAGTCTGCCCTCATGACCACAGGTTTGAATATTAAAGCACGTTAGAAGCAAACGATGTATAAATCTACCAAGAATATGCTTGAAATCATATTGCTGCTAATAGAGTATTTTTTTTGTATCCCTTAATTCAGAATCCTTTTTAAGTCATTTTTGACTCAGATGTAACTTGAACAAAATTGTAATCCTTATTTGGGCAACCATTGATTTAGCCATACCGATGAAGATCAAGGACGAGACGGCTGAGCTAGGCTCCGGAGCAGGACAAATAGACCCAACAAAGGCACTTAATCCTGGCCTCGTCTATGATTTGTCCTTGAGCTCCTATATCCGCTTCTTGTGCAAAGAAGGCTACAACAGCACCAACATTTCCCTCCTCGTCGGGGGAAAGAAGAGATACAGGTGCTCCGACTTTAAACCAGCGCAAGGCGCAGATGGCCTCAACTACCCCACCATGCATCTCCAGCTCAAAAATCCCAACTCAACCATCTCGGCAGTCTTCCACCGGACAGTGACTCATGTCGGATACCAGAGTTCGGTGTACAAGGCGAATGTGGTCTCACCAGAGGGTCTTTCCGTAAAAGTTTATCCGAGCTCTTTGCAGTTCAGTCACCAGCAGCAGAAGCACTCTTTCAAGGTTACAGTGAAGGGCGGATCAATGGCGAACGAGACGAGCATCCTATCTGCTTTACTTAAGTGGAAAGATTCTCATGATCATAGTGTTAAGAGCTATATACTTGTGTATAAGGGTGGACTTATGTTCTAATCTGATCTCTGCTTGTCTGTAGGAATGATTTTAAACAGTGTTAAAGAACCATAAGTTTTTTCCTGTATGCATGAGTTTCCTACATAACATTACTAACCAATGATGACTACTTTAGAATGTTTTCCATTTTTGTAAAAATCAAGATTTAGTGAATGGGGTTCAGGTAAAAAGAATGAAGCCAAAAGTGATAATCATCTTCGATGTGAAAAAAAAAAAAGAAAAAAAAAAGGGGGGCTTACATAAACTTGAAGAGCTCAACCTTTACCGAGTATATCCCACTTCCTGCAGAAGCATTTACATGTCAGAAAGAAAAACATGTTGAGATTATATTTCTTACTCAAAACTCTTCTTTTGTTGCCTCTTTCCAACTCACAGCCAACATTTAGAGAATTGGTCTGTGACCAAGATATCATTTGCCGCAAAAATTTTCAGGGGAAGCTACTTATTAATTATAACATTCTCAGAGTATTTGCTATAAAATTCCCGATGCTTTCTTCATGGAAAGCTACCCCACAAAAAACAGCTGAGCTATCAGAATTTCTGGTTGCCTAAAGAAGCATATATGAGAAAATGAGGAAGCCTCGAAGATCATGTACACAAAGTCACAAGTTTTCACCCCTCTGTTATTTTATCTACCCTATTAACGAAGCTCTTACGATGAAAGCACAGAATAAACACAAGACACAACTATTTGTCTCAAAGCTCAACAGTGCATCCGACATTGACGACCGTGAAGGTTTTTTAGCTTTGTGAGTTCTTTCCTCCTCTTTCTTGCCTCGGCCGCAGCAACCACCTCTGCTGATTTTTTACAAGAGTAGATGATTGGTTCACGGAACTTTTCCAGCAAAGCCATAGCTGGTGTTGCATGACAAACTTCTGCAGATGTCTTGATATGGTGAGTGGAATCTAATTGAGGTCCACTCTCATGCTTTATGGTGGATGGAATCACCACGGGTTTTATCAGCAGGGGAGTAACAAGCGCTTCTTTGGAAAAACTTCCTTTAAGGTGAGATCCTGTTTGTTGATCTCCTCCATCTTGAGCAACCTCTGCCAGGTGTTCATTGAGATCATTATTAGTTCTGGCCTCCAATGAACCAGAAGGTTCTGTTTTCACCTTGGTATGCATATGGGAGTGCTGGTTCTCCCAGTGGGGCGGGGTTCTTGAGGATGTAGGACTCTGTTGGTTATTAGTAGAAGTCTCATCTTGTTTATTTTTCTGAAAAATTGAAGACTGAGATTGGAGTAGAGTCCCGGGATCAAGGTGAGGAAAAAACCAAGGACAGGGAAAAATATAAAGAGGAGTTTCCGGTCCATTAGTATTCCTGAGATTCTCTTGTTCACAAGAGTCATGCCTTCCCTCGGCTGGCAAAGGAATGTTTGATGGCATAACAATTGCATTTTGGGCTATATGAGATGTTTGGACAGAATTTGGAGATTGCGCGACCGGAGACCAAAAAAGTGGTGTAAATGGCGGATGGTTATACAAAAACAAAGGTGAAGCTGCAGTTGGAGTTATCTGAACGCATTGACTGCCCAGAATTTCCTCCACATCAGCCTTTACCACCTTAGCCATCTGCAAAATTGGAATGTATCAAGCATGACGAAATCACTTCAAGATTAAGCAAGTTTACAATCATAAACGTTGCTTACCCGATCTTTTAACTGTTTATTTGTGGTTTCCAACATCCGGTACTCTTTCAACGCCATTTCCATTTCCTTCTCCATAGAAATGCCACAAAACATGAATAGTGTTGATTCCGTGATGTTTAATAAATTAAATAATTTAAGCTAGAGAAAGGAAAATAACCATTCATTGTCATAGATAGTAGAATGTGAACAAATGAATTTGTGACACCGCTTCCAAACCATGCTTGACATTGTTGTGTACATGTATGTGTGTCAAAAAGAGGGAAAAAGATGGAAGAGGAGCTTTAGAGGAGGAGATTGCAAATTATTGCCTACCGTCTTTAAACTTTCATTCTCCGATGCTAAATCAGCAGCTTTTTTTATTAACTCTTCACAAAGAGCCTGTAAATTACAACCATGAAGCAATCCGAATAAGAGCAATGACGCGCATTTTAAAGAAAATGTGAGGGATAAAGGGAAAAATTAAGTGCATAGACATCATGAATACAATATCCCTTTGTAACAAGGAATTGCGGCAAGTTCAGTATTAAAATGTTTGAGACTCATACACGTAGTTGCTTCAATAATCCTGACGTAGCAATGTGAACCGTGTTAGCTTAAATATTTGTCACAGAAATGGTGGGGAAAATAATTCATAGGACAGGGATTCTTTCATCATATAAGCTGGAAATGCGTTACTTGTTGATGCACGTACCCAATAGCTTTCAACTACCAGTGAGAACAATTTAAGTAAAAACGCCTAGTCAACTTCATGTTACCGATGTGATTGACTTTGCAATACAGAAATTTTAGCGTCGTGTGCATATATATCTCTCAGAAGAAAACATCTTTAGATACTAGAGAGGAAGATTTTAACACGACATGTCACAGTCATCCCCCCACATTGAGTACGTTGAGCTGAAACCACGCAACTACAGCATATACATACCTGCCTTCGGCGAATTGTTTGACGAGCAGATTCTCTGTTAGCTAAAATTCGACGTATTCTCCGTGCTTCCTTTTCGGCCTGTTAAGGAAGGAAAAAAGAGTTTAACAACACAGGCAACTACAGTTTGTGGGTTTAAAAATATAAGTGAAAAGCAACTATACAACAAATTTGTAGAGAAAAAGGTTCGTAAAGTTTAGTACCTCAGTCAAACTGCGTCTTGACTTGCCAATACCAAGCAACGAGTAGCCTGGTTCTGTAGAGCCTATAAGACTTGGTTTAGGTAATTCAGTTTCCTTCTTAACCTTCAAATTCTTTTCGCTCCGATCATGAGCCTTCGATGGCTCGGCAATCACATTCCTGCACGCCTCTGCGGATTGCTCAGGACTTTTTATTCTATCCTGCTATAAACAAAAATACTTTTCAACTCCTGCATACAGTAGTTTTACATGGTGATAGAGACATGAAAAATGCATATTCAGATCAGATACTAGAGGACAAGTTAATTAGATTCAGTCGGGTCATTAACAGAAAAACCAGAACAGGAACTTAAATAGTTAATTGAAAAAAATGGCAAGGAGAAAAGTCCATAATTGTGTCTTATCAAGGAGAAAAAAATGTACACTCAAGAAGATAAGTTTCAATACTTCTCTTATCAAAGCCATTTCTGATGCAATACTTATTATCAAACTTGCCAAAAGTGTATGGTAACCAAGAGGAGACACCACATGTGAAACTAACCCAACATACTTTAAAAGTCCAACTTGACCCAAAATGTTAACCTATGAAGTCTAAGGTCTTTTTATGTATATAAATCACGTCATATCCTCATCCACTTTCCATGTAGAACAACACACACAACACACACATGTACTTTTCTCAACAATCTCTCCCTCATGTGTGTGTTCACCGAGCTCCCCCTCAAACTAAAATTTTAGTAACCGGCATATCTAAGCATCACACTCCAAATGGGAGCCAAACTCGAGCATGAAAACAAAGACGAAACCATGCGAGTACACCAAATGTTCCACTATCGACACCTACAACCGGTGCCAACTGCGGAAACACCAATTCTCCACAGGAGGCAACATAGAACTGCAACCGAGTAACGTTGTTTGTAACCGAGTTTGATCACTTGACTCATACGAACTATCGGCTCTTATACCATTTATTTGGGAGATAACCAGATGTAAAACTGACTTAACACATTTTAAAAACACAACTTGACCTAAAAGATTAATCTATTAGATTTAAGGTCCATCCATATATATAAATTACTTCATATCCTCGTCTATTTTCCATGTGAGATAATACACATGTACTTTTCTCAACACTAATATTGCAAATCACTTCAGAAAAGGATAATAAAAATATTGTAAATTTGAATTTGATCATGAAAACCCACTTGCTAGTTTGTTGGTCAAACTTAACTCGACCGCTTTGTGAGGTACGTACATTGTATCTAATAATGTCGTTATCAATTTCTTGCATGATCTGACTAATAGACACGCCAATATTTACAATCTCAAAATAGATAACCGAATAACAGGGAAGTGAAGATCAGTTTTTCAGTTTTGGTAACTGAATTTTCAACTTTTGTCTCTGCTGAGTCTGCTTTAAACTTAAAATGTCCCAATTTACTCCGCTAATATATAAAAAAACCAGTTAAATAAAGAGATGGACTTCAATCATTATAGTCATAGAAAATTTTGATAAAAGTACAGAAATTCACGCTAAATTTTCCACTTTTTTTCTATATATATATATATATATATATATATATAAGTTTCCACCTTTAAACTCCTAAATTAGCATGATTATTTCCTTTCACTTCTTCTTTTGAAAGAAAGAGCTAGTACAAACTATTCCTTAACTTCACAAGAACCAAAAAAAAAAACATGAAGAAGAAAGCTAAACCAACCTGAGGAAGATCCGAGCAGAGAGTCACCGATTCGGCCGGAGGCGTAGACTGGCTCTTGACTCGTTTCCTCCGGCGAGTCCAATCCCCTCCAGAATCAGCTGCGGAACCCTCGCGCATCGCGTAATGCGCCAAGTCCGCGAGCGCCTCCGCCGCCTCAATCTCCTCCACCATCCGATCCGCCGCCGCCGAATGAGCCGAAGCAGAAGCAGAACATCCCGAACCGCTCGAACCCGAACACCTTCCCGTTACCATAGTAAAGTGATTGAGAAGAAGAAGAAGAGAAGAGAGCAAAATTGTCTTCGCAAAGTGAAGAAGAAAGCTAGAGAGAGAGAGAGAGAGAGAGTGTGTGTGTCTTAACAGGTTTAGGAGAGAGAAAGAGAGAGGGGGGAAAGCACAGAGGGAGTTTGGCAGCGCCACTTGTCGCGCCAGCTCATGGAACGACATCTTTGCGAAGTACCGGCCGGTGTATCTGCGAACGACACGTTTCGGGTGCCAGGCCACGTAGGCAGTTCCGCACGTGCCGAATTTCCCACGTATCGGACCTGTAGAAGTGTGGGCTTCAGAGCAGGAAACCGGTGGATCGTTTGGCTGCGCTCCACGTGGCGTTCTGTGATTTCAGTTGGGATTTTTACCGGCTTTTTTGGGTGTCCTCCTCGATGTACGTGGAAGTTGGATAACCAGAGACTTATAATTAGTTATTTTCCTTTTTAATTTTTTATTTATTTCTTTTTGCCATTTTTTAATATAATAATGCTGAGTTTTATGAAATTCACCAATAGTTTGATTGTCTGACTCTGAAATTGTGTATTATTGATAATGCACTTTGTTTAGTTTTATTACCCTTTTTTTTTTTTTTTTAAATCCGACGGTGAGTTTGCTGAAAAGTGGGTTGTAGAGTGGGTTGGGTGTGAGTACTGGTTGGTCCCATCCGAATGGTTTGTTTGAGTTTGACTCTCCAATCAATCAATCAATCAACTTTTACCCATTTCCATTGTGTCCACTATTTAGAATATTAACCGTTTAATTCATTAATTTAAATTTTTAATTTAAATTAAAATATGAATTTATATGAAAAATTTTGAATGTAATAAAAAAATTAAATATTATTATTTTTTAAAATTTTTTATTGTAATAAAATTTAAATTTTAAACTCAAATCGGTGAAATGAACATGACTTAAACATACATTCTTAAAAGATTATGAATTGGTGCAATGGAAAAAATAACTTTTTTTATTCTCTGAGACTATCTCTGCTACGTTATCTTATCAGTAGAATCAATTTTTTAATTATTAAATCTGATTAAAATCAAATAAAATTAAAAAGTAAGCAAAATAGATAACTTGACAGCTAAAAAAGACTGAAAAAAATAAAACTACTGATAATTTAATTTTTCTGAGATCCTACAAGAGAAACTCCTTTATTCTCCTCTCATAATATACATTCATGGTTTAATACTTCATAGCCCAATTTTAGAACTCATGTCCGATTAATGTGTTGTGTGACGTTAAATTAAGTGTGTGATTACATGGTAAAAATTTAGTTCATATCTTAAATAGAATTGAGTCAGGTACTATTAATAGACTACGAGATTTTTAAGGTGATGGAGTGGATAGAGGAGTGATGACACTGGTGTAATCGTAGTATTAAAAACTCTAACGAGCAATAGTGCATCGATGACACCTAGTATCCTACTGTAATACTTTACCGTCTCTGATCAAATAACGCCAGTATCCAAGGGTAATTTGGTTTGCACAGTCGTATTAGTTTGAGAGAATATAACATTTACGGAAATAGTAGAAAATATGCTAATATGAAAAGCTTAAGAAAGTACATAGGTTAACTTTTAGTTATAAAAATTAATATGCTATAACTTGTCAAATTATGATTCATAACCAGATAAGTTATGGACAAACTTGTCAAGTTATAGTTCATAGTCAGACAAGTTATGGACAAAACCGTGAATTATGGACAATAACTTATCAAGTTATGGTTTATAACCAGACAAATTATGAACGAAAACAGTAAATTGGCCTATTTATTAACTTATGTAAACTATTGACCTATTAATTTTAATTCATCTCAAGTCTTGACCTATTTCCCTCTTTCTCCCTAACATTGATAGTAAGAGTTTTCTGTTCAAGGCCCAACTGCTAAGAGAGAGGTTTTTTCTTTTTTTTCCCAAAAGAAAAGATCAGAAGTCATTTAATGCCACGTAAAATCTTGAATTTGATTTGTTTCCATTATTTGTCATGATGTTGTTGATAAGAATTCCAAGGTATGATAGGCGAAAGTATAAAAGCTAATATTGGTCTGGTCCTAATTCTAATTATCACAATTATTTGATAGACGAGTCCAATTACTTAGGATAACATTTTCTGTAGAACTTCTTATGGTAAGTTATTCTTCTTCTTCTACTGATAGCAGATTTTCAACTCTTTAAAATTTTTCTATAATAGTTATAAGGATAGTTGCATCAATCCCAAACTAGGCGCTCTTAAGTTGTGTTTGGTAACCGGGAAAGAAAATAACAAGGAAAGCAAAGTATGTAATCTAGGTAAGAAAATTCAAAAGAAAGGGGATGTTATTTTTCTTACTGTGTTTGGTTATTCTAATCCTTCCATATTGGGAGGGATTAAAGTTAAGAGTTATTTCAAGGATTTGAAACATTCACTCCTCTTTTTCCTTTCACTTTTAACTCTCCTACCAAACCACTAAGAATCAAGATATCTAAGTTAGGTATAAAAGAATTTGTTAGCAATAATGTAGATTTTGAAATAAATTTCTGATATTTATAATTTTGCGTACTGAGTTGTATTGCTCTTGTATTTTTGGCCCTAATTGTTGTCAACTAAGTAACCCATTCTCTAGCTCGTTTTCGTTTAGAGAAAATTATTAAACTTACCTTTAAAATGACTAATATAATTATTTGGTTAAAAAGGATATTAATTAAGAATACGGCTTAGAGTATTTGTCTCATTTTCCCTTAAGTTTAATGTCCGAGTCTTCTTATTCATGGAGACTAATGTTTCTAGTGCGGTCCACTTAGACTTATCTTCAAATAATTTCAATTTTTTGACTTTTCCTAAAAAATAAAAATAAAAAAACTGATATAAATGTACTACTAGTAGCATACATTTAGGATTTTTCAAATTTAATTTGATCATACTTAAATTTGTTCTTTCATTATGATATGGATTAATGTGACAAACACTACTTAGATAATTAATTAGTAACAAACACTACTTTATGATATGTCTTTGAAAGGCACCATTAAAATATATAAACACTTTGGTAACTTAATTATAACAATTAGTAAGTTTTGGAATATTGGAATTTTAGAAAACCTTTGTATAAGTTCTCCGTACGATAAATGAATGGAATTTCAACAAACGTGAAATGTGCTTGTCTCATGAAGCTCAAGTGGTCAGAGACATGTTTGTCTAGCTGCTGCTTATAAACACTGTTGAATCACATGCTTTTGCTTTGGCAAAATTCAAACATTGTGAAACATTTTTGTAGGTTGAATAGGGAACAAGGGCATCATGTGCCAGCAGTACTAGCTTGTAAAACTATAACAATTTGCTAATGCCCCTTTTGTGAGGGCACAAAAAAAAAAAAAAAAAAAAAAAGAATTGAAAGCCCATGCAAAGTGTTTTAAAGTTTGATTAGTACAAAATTGTGGCAATGCCAATTTTGGCGGTGAGATTAACAATGGTGTTTGCAGCTCGTGAGAATGATTATTCAACCAAAAAAAGAAATAGTGAGAATGATACTTTTTTTTTTTTGTTTATTTTTGTTTTTATTCTATTTGAGTCTAAATCTCAGAATTAGCTCATTTCAAAAGAAAATAATAACTAAAAAAAAAATTTGAGAATATTCTAAGACACTTTTTATGAGAGGATGCTCATACACATAATGCATGTTTCTAAATTTAAGATGCAATTAAAATCACATTAAAATAAAAAAAATATATATGTAAACTGATAGAACCTGATAAAAGATATGAGGTTCAACACAATTCTGTGGTTCAAAAACAGTTTTTCACGAGTCGCACTTTTTTTCAAACTCAAGTATAGAACTTAGGAATCAAATTCCTTATCCAATTTAGTATCCGTATTAGCATTTAATAAACCACATTATACCATATCGTTTAAAATTTTTTAAAATTTTTCTAACGAATTTTAACTAGTTTTTTCGTTTGAATTCACTAAATTACATTACATTATGTGATTGGTTAAGTATTGATTGAGACACAAAAAAAATATGTATTAAATAAGAATTCTTTTATTCTACAAAGGAAAATAGATGTGGCCTAAAAAAATAAATATAAGGTCAATCTCACAAATAGTTCCTAAGCTTTACTTTTAATCTCATTTTAGTCCTTGACTTTTAAAATGTCTCATAGTTAGTCCTTAAAATTTTACTTTGTTTAAGTTTCAGTCCTTTTGTTAGCTTGGTATTAGATATTTGACTGAATATGTAAAAATTATTGACTAAAATTAAAAACATATAAAATTTAAAGACAAAAACAATTCAAAAAAATAAAAGTTAATTTCCACATATAGTCTCAAAATCTTAGCTATTTTCAATTTTAGTCTTTAATATACATATATTCCATCAAATTTTAATACATAGTTAACAAAAAGACTAAAACTGAAATAAAATAAAAGCTCAGAAATTAATTGTGTGATCTTTAAAAAGTCAGAGATTAAAATAAAATTGAAGGTAGACTTTAGTACCATTTATGCAATTAACCCTAAATATAAGTGATCGCCAAACTCAATATCTTTTATCCTATATATGTCACGCTACAATTTGTGCAGCGAATCTTTATGGGGAATAAAAAAAAAAACAACTTTTTTTTAATTAACTATTTGACTTTGACATACCAAAAGTGGTTCCCAAAAGAGTAGAAGAAATAAACTAATAATAAAGTGGCCATCTTTTCAAGTCCGAGAAAGTCTCCTCTTTCTCTTTATTTTTCTCTTGCTCCATGCCCGTGTGCTTCTGTAACATATTAGGGTTTGATTTCTCCAATAGTTATGACTAACATGGAGTTGTCTGCGGTTAAGGCAGAGCTCAAAACCCTAGTTCATTCCATGCTTGAGGAGGTAACATTTTAATATGGTTTTTCTTTGCCTTTTCTTTTCTTTTCTTTTTGGTCTTTGATATCTTGTTTTAATATACAAATCTTGGGCTTCTCTACCAGATTTTTTTAATTATTTGTTCAGATTGATTTTGAAATGAAAACCACCAGTTTCCTCTATCTACTTTTCTTCTTTTCTAAATTTGCCTTTCCTTAGACAAAAAGTAAGACAAAGTACTCAAATGGAGAAAAAAAAAAGAAACTTTGGTTTGGCATAGTGTTTGAATGGTGTTTTTATACATTATATATATATATATATATATATATACACACACACAATATTTTGGGTTTGTGATGTTTTTAAGTTAATATTCTATTCTACAGGGTATTTTGGATAGCCAGTTTACACAGCTTCAAGCTTTACAAGATGAAAGCAACCCCAATTTTGTTGCTGAAGTTGTGACTTTGTTCATCAATGACGCCCAAAAGATCATTAACCATTTGAATAATTGCATGTAATTTCGTACTTCATATAAAATTAATCTTTTTTTCTTTTCCTATTTATGGCTTTTTCCATTTTGTGATAATGTGTTTGTTCTGTTTTGTGTTAGGTCTCAAGAAGTCATTGATTTCTCTGAGATGGATCCTTATGTTCATCAAATAAAAGGAAGTAGCTCAAGGTGATTATGGCGCCTTTTCTAGGGGGTACAATATTTTAATTTACAACCCTCTTTGTGCCATGGTGGTTGAGTGTGTCATCAGGTCAAAGGTTCAAGGGTTGTAGACAACAACAAAAAAATATTTTAATTTAATTTAACAAAAATTTTCAAGGGTTGTAGACAACAACAAAATATATATATATATATATATATATTTAATTTAACAAAAATTTTCAGTATCTTGGTATTGGATTTGTTTAATTTTCTTCGAATTGTTTGGCCTTGTAGTATTGGTGCACGAAATGTGAAACTCGCTTGTATTGATCTTCAACAAGCTTCTGATGCCAAAAACAAGGAAATGTGAGAATTAACATTTTTCACTCTCTAATTATTCATGTTTCCACACTAATTAACATATTAAATGTTGTTCAGAAAAACCAATACAATCTATTTATCAAAAAAAAAAAAAGTCGTAGACATTAGGCATTGATAATGTACGGAAAAAAGATTTGAAAAGAAAAGGTCTCAAATTTCATAAAGTAAATTTTTTTTTTTTTTTTTTTGGTATTACTATATGCAAAAACTTCAATATGGTTTCTGTTCTAACATTGATAAGCATTTTTTTGACAGGTGCTTGCAGGCCTTAAACAAAATCAGTCGTGAATACTGTAGATTAGAAGTAAAATTGCATGCCATTGTACAGGTATAGTGCATAATTTATATTGTACTTTGTCCTTTCTCTTTTTTAGCTTCGTACTCTTTCTTCGTTACACAAACATATGGACATTAGAAACATAACATGACATATATTTAATGTACGTTGAAAAGGTGTAACACCAAAAGAATTTAGTTGTTGAATCTTATATAACATAATGTTACGTTAAATAAATGTCATGTTATGCTTCTTTCTTTTATATTTTTACACAGAAGTAGACAACGCTATAATGCGCGCGCGCATATATATATATATATATATATGTATATATATATATATATATATATATGCATATATGTATATTCCATTTGTTGACATTTTGAGGTGCAGCTGCAGAACACAATCTTTACCATGGAAACCAACCAACGACGTCAGGTTGGTAGGTATGGTGCTATGTCAACGCAACGGAGGTGAAGGATGGATTATTCATCATTCATTTACTTCATCTGTTTTATTATTATTATTATTATTTTTCGTTGCTTGGTGGGTTACTTTGTAGGTTTCCCAGATTGAGTTAACCCTTTTTCGGTAAAGAGCTTTTCTGTTTTTCAAATGCCGATTGCTAAGCTTCAGAAGTAGACAATGTTTGCAAATGGACCATATTCTTTAAAGTATGTCATATCTTAATTCAATATACATTTTTAAGTCCAAAGTCCAACCAACATTTGGCCCTTTTTGGACTTTGGCCTCTGAGATTTCCTAGCTCGTACGGGTTAAATGTCGTTTTATGATCTATTAGTTAACGTGTGAAAAGTAAAAATGTACCATGGTCAAATCTCGACTAATAAATAATTGAAAGAAATTATCTTACCGTTAAAATATATATATATATATATATATTATAGATAAATAGAGCCAAAAAAATTTCAATGTCTCAGATTATTTATTTTCATCGTCCAACGGTAGAGAATAATCTGCATGCCAATGGTCAGCTAAAAACATGGAAAAAGTGGTTTCCTACAATAAGTAGATGATGAATCTCATAGCAATGGACCAATATTTGGGGTTCTACATTGAAATGTGAGTGGACCCACTAGAACGAGCAGAGATTATGAAACATGATAATGATAAGATGTAAACAAGATAACGCTATAACCATCCTTAAATAGTTGAGGTGACATAAAGGGACAACCGAGATATTTACATTCATTCAAGCATTCATTATCTAAGATGCAACAAAATTGACCACGACGCATGAAGCTCAATCAGCAGAAGTTCCATCTCCATTGTTCGGATCTGGTGTGGAATGAGATGTGGGTGAGGCGAGGCCAGCTAGCCGCCGGAAGGACAATGGTGTTGGGGGAGTTCTCGGAGACAGGTTAACGAATTCGAGCGCCTGCATTCTCACTTCTACAGGGTAGTCTGCAACACAACCGATTCTCGGGCCAGCTCCAGTTGACCACTTGAGGGAGAGCTGATTTCCTAACTGATATGATTTTGCCGCCTTCTTGGAATTGATTCTTTCCAGTATTTTGTTCTTGGGAACTTCAGCTCTAGGACTCTGAAGACCACCAGACAAAGTCCTCTTATAATTGGTCTTAGTTCCGGTCTGGGGAAGTTCAGTAGTTTCGGAGGATGAGGTCTTCTGCTGTTCCACATGAGTTTTAAGTTCAGGAGGTCCAGAGTTTGCTAGACTTTTAAGCGAAGTCGCAGCTCGATTAAACTTGCTGTCATCATAGGAATCATAATCCTCGTTTGCCTTGCGTATCTGAAGACGGGATGGCAAAAATCATGTCAGGCAGACCATAACAACAAAGCAAGCTGGACTTGGAAATTCTTTTTGACTGCAAGTGTAACCTGAACTTAAACAGCAAATCTCACTACGTATTCAAGGAATAATTTATGACTTGCACACACGCACATACACACACAGAGAGACAAAATGTTCCTACGTTTTACCAATCAACTTTTTCCTACATTGCTTTCCACCATCCACAGTTTTCTAGTTGATTTAAGACCATCAAGCTTTTCAGAACCACACATTTGGAACACTAAGGTCAGGCAAGAGCAAAATGTATTACCTCCACTTCATTAAGTTTCACTCCATTTTCCTTGAGAAAAGATAGGAAGCTGTCAAGACGGTCATCTGAAGGCCGATAATGGCCACTATACGCCGAGATGGACTGGAAAGTCAAAGCAATGGTGGATTAGACACTATAATCAGCACAAAGAAAATGTGATATAGCACTAACATGTTGTGCCTGAATGCATGTCTACTATGGTGGAAGATCGAAAAAAGTCGAGAATTCTAAAAAAGGCAATTGAGCCACTTATGAACATGAAAATGCCACATGGAAACTTTTATTGTGGCACTTTGCAAGTTCTAGACCAACAGTTTCTTTCATTTGTCTCCACCAACTTGGATTGTATTGTATTGTAAAAAACCTTCAAAGTTCCATTTTCGGCCTCTAGTCTCCCAGCAGCTAATGTAGCTCCACCAGCCAAGAAGCTTGAATGATGAAAAGTTCCTTTCTTTTTCTGAAATGTAATAGACATGGCATCAGAGTCAAAGAATGACATAGGACAACTTTTTTTTTTTTTTTTTTTTTTGGTTTGTTAATAATGACATAGGACAACTAAATAACCAAGAATATTTCCAAAGAACAAAAAAAGTAAAAAGGCTTTCTATTTGTAGAAATCTAACCTCTCCAGCATATAGTTTCTTGAAAGTGCTCATTACAAATATCCACTTTGCTCCTTGTGATCTTTTTTTTGTATCAAGAAGATCTCTAGTTTGTTTGTGAATGATTTTCCCATCTTCAAGGAGGTATTCATAATGTTCCCTCTCTTTCTAATTTCACCAAGAAAAGTCAAGAGAAGAATATGTCAATATATCAACAACAGGGTATTCGTAAAAGAACCACAATTCTAACCTTTTTACTATAGTGTTTTCTCTCACAAGATAATGTTTTCTCACAGAAAGATAATTTCGGTTCGAGCCTATGAAAAGAACGGACCCTAGGTTTCAACTAAGAACGAGGATAAATCTGATTCAGGGAAGCACTTACAGGCCCAAGATACTTGATGCATTGCTGTTTAAGCTTTGATCTTGGACACTCTTTGAGATCGAGCTCTTTCCCATCTCCTAAATCCAACCTACAGGGCAAAATAACAAAACGGTTTTAAAGGTAAATTTCACTTCTTACAAAACCACTTCTGACCATAATAGATTTCAAAGCAATAAAATACGGAAAAAAATCACTTGCAATTTAAGAAATTAACTCAAAAAAAATTTAAACTCAAGTTACAATTTGATTCAAGTTCATGTTATTTTGTAAAATTTGAGTTTGAACTTGAGTTTGGAATTAAAATCTGAGTTCAAGTTCCCCCTTCAACTCAAGTTTCTAAACTCAAACTCAAGTTAATGAACATTATTTTTTCTATTCTTAAAAACGGCATAATATTTTCATTTTAATTCCAATTGAGATGATTTTTTTTCTATGCGTTCACAATGAAGAGATGAATAAAACCTCATCCATATACTCTATTAAAATTTTGCATCACCATTAAATTTTTATTAAAATACTATCCAAATACAAATTCAAGTTTTAACCCACCTAAATACAAACTTAAATAGATTTTCAATTCAAATCATAACTCAAAACTCTCAGAGTGCACATCCAACTACAAACTCAAATTTCGAGTTTTATTACAGTAAAAAGCTCTCACAAACAATCACATCTAACTTTTTTGTTACAGTAAAAAGCTCTCACATACAATCACATCTCAACTCGAATTAACGAAACGAACGAGACCTCAAATACATCTTAACTCAAATTAAGAGCTGAACTCAAATTACTCTACCTCAAAAAATACAAATGAACGAGCCCTTTATATTTCTTACCAGTAAAAAAATGGCTGCCCGGCATCAGCTTTACACCACTCTTCATAGTACTTGTGCAAGCTATGACCGTACCGATGTCTTGGATCAATCTACATTTCATATACGTTGAAAGTAAATACAAATTTAAAACCACAAAATAGGACTGTATGATTAAAACTTAAACAAAAAAGAAAAATCAGCAACATTAAATAAGATAATTTAAAAAAAAATAAAAATAAAAAAGTCCCTACAGCTTCAATCCAATGCTGAAAAGCCAATTTTTGTGCTTTGGCGTCTTTGGACAAACCCTTTCCGACCTGGTCAAAAATGTCCAAATTTTCAGAATATTATCAACTCGCTTCAAAAATTAATGTAATCATTGTGTATTCAGAATCATTCTTATATTTTTTTAAAAAAAAATACTGTAAAAAATCATAAATTATATTTCATAATCATAGAATCATCTAAAACAAACCGGCTGTAAAAGTAACGCCGTCGTTTTCCGGATAAATTAACCAAACGACAACGAAATCAGCCGCAAGTTGTTCTATTCTATCCCCTAAAGCTACACAGTTCAAAGATATTAAAATCCAAAAAGAAAAATAAATAAAATAATAAAATAAAGGAAGAGAGAGAGAGAATCAGACCTTTGAAGCATTCAAGCTAATACGATTCCACCGTGAAGTCGCGGTTTCCGGTTTCGAGAAATTGAAGAACGAAATCGTACTGTGATTCAGCCTCGCGAAGTCCAGAGCTTGCCACCTTCATAGAAACACCACATTTTCCAGTCAATTTTCGCGGAATCTCAACACGATACGACATAGTTTCTACGTCATCGGAGATTTCGGCGAACTTACCAGAGCTCTTCGGCGACGATGGCAGAGTCGGCCAACCTCCGCCGCGTGCGATAACCTCTATAAGCCTTTTGCAGCTTCACCGCGGCGGCGCTCGACTCGATCGTCTCCTTCGCTGGCGTGTGATCGCCGGTCAAGCTCCCGGCGACGTCGAAGGAGGGGAGTTGCCTATCGCCGGAGGCCGGAGATTCCGATTCGGAGACGTCGGAGCTCCGCGAGTCCAGAGAATGGAGGTTGGAGGAGGAAATGCTCATATCGCCGAGGGGGTACGGGAATGGAGGCTTTGACTGGAGGTCGAAGGTGGAGAGGCGCTGAGCTTGAACTACTTCCATTGGAGACCGAGTCAAAGAGACGACTCAGTGAAGTTTGCTCGAAACTCGGAAAGTCACTGAGAGAGAGACAGACAGATAGAGAGGGAGGGATAGTGAATTCTAGAGAGAGAAACAAACGTCTTCTCGTCGTTCGAAGTTTGTGCTCTCTGGGGGTGTATTTAACCGGGAAAAATACCCGTCAAATTATCGGGGCGATTTATTTATTTAACAATTAACAATTCGTTATCCCACGCGCGAGTGTCGGAGCGTTCGGAACACGCGCTGGCAGGAGATAATGACGTTGCTTGATTGATTAAATGGTGAGGGCGATAGGGAACGGTATTTATAAATTTTTTTTTTTTCTTTGGAAAAAGGCTTTTCTTAAAGAAAAGCTTGTGGAATTCCAATTCATGTTTTGTCTCTTTGGAGGAATGAAAAAAAAAATCTTTTGTTCAAAGTAGATAGAGAGAAACAAACAAAAGACCTAGACATTGACCGGGTGATTCACGTGGTGGTAGGGCTTCTCAGCATATTCAAAGACCAAACTCAGTTTATGTGAATTTTGGATAGGGAAACAACCAAGAAGGTGCTAGCTGGTTTACTCACTTGTATATAGTAAAATCTTTTCACATTCTTCCTTCGTGTAAATGACAAACTATATGGCAAGAGCATAATGGGAATGGAGATCAATATCGAGATCATTCTAGATTTAATAGAATTTGATGAAAATACGACGGTTTAGATCTAAGAACTATAACAGTTGATAGGTATTTTAATTTGCTCAAAATTGTCCTAGAAAAATTTCTTGATTCGGACTTCTGCTAGTATGAAGGAATGTGAATTCATTGTTAGCTCAGATTGGAGTAAAAAAAAAAATAACAAAAAGAGAAAAAATGTGAATTATGTTTGTTTGAATTTGATGATATCGTGGTCTAGAGACCAAACTATAATACTTTAGACTTTGTAGTTGGGACTACAAGAAGAAATTCAACCTTTTGAATTCATGGGAAGGTACCTTTAGAAGAGAGTGCAACTCTAGTTAGTTTTTTTTTCCCCCCTTAAATCCCATGCAATATGCATGTTTGGGAGACCAATTTTAACATATGCGAGGAATGTGCCTCAATGGCCGGTGCAAGTAAACTGTAAAAGACCATTAGAAAATAGTACAGCTGCCTCTTGGCTCTTACTATTATTATTATTAATGTGTAGAGTTGGTAGGTGACATTTAATGAATGGGCTTCCATACAATGTCATTTTTATGGGCTCGTTCGGTTTGTTAATTCGAATTTTTAATTCGAATTGAGATGTGATGTTGTGTGAAAACTTTTTACTGTAGTAAAAAAAGTTAGATTTAACTGTTTCTGAGAGCTTTTTACTGTAACAAAAATCGAATTCTAAACTCGAATCAACGAAAAGAACAGGACCAGTGTACTTTGATTTCGGAAATGTTTATGGCAAATTATGAAAAGACCTTCATCGGCGAGCGTACAATCATAAACCATCGGACCACGTCAAACAATATAAGATTAAAAATTAACAGTTTTATAAAACAAGAAAGTCCTATTAATAAAGTACATTTTTTCTAGTAGGTCTATTTACCGGTAGTTTTAATTTTTAATTATTGAATCTCATCAAAATAATATCATATTAAAAAAGTACACATAACATATAATCTGATGACTAAAAAGTAAATAATTATCGATATTTTATTTGTTTAGGTCTTACTAGAGAAATTCTCTTTTTTTTATCTTCTTATTTTCTTTTCGACACTTTATCTAGTAGAGTTTTTTTACTGGTAGAATCAGTTTTTTATCATTGGATCTGATCAAAAGTACGTCAGATTAAAAAAGTATACAGAATAGATGGTTTCTGATACAAATATAACGGTTAAAAATAGAGAATTACCGATAGTTCATTCACTTTCCTTTCTTATTTGGGACTATTTTTGGTAGGCCGTTCTACCAGTAGGACCAGTTCTGACCATTAAATCTGATTAAAATCAAATGAGATTGAAAAAATATGCATAAAGGTTTTTGATATAAATTTAACGGATAAAAAAGACTGAAAAATTTTAAAACTACCATAATTTTATTTTTATGATCCTATGAGAGAAACTCCCTTCTTATTCTTGTCAAATAATTTCTATAAGCGTGGCATAAAATTTTCCAATAAGTTTTGTGAAGAATGGTCTCGAACGAAATCAATCTGAACCATGACTGGCATGGAAGGCAAGAATAATTATTTTTTATTAGGATTATGATGTAAAGCATAAATACACTGGTTGAGCTTCTTGGTTATCAATACCTTTGGCAATAAAAATAAAAATAAATAGAAATAAAAAGAGGAAATTTTCTTTAGTTTGTCTCCTTATTGATAGTATCAGTTTTTAACCGTTAAATTTGATTAAAATTATATCAGATTAAAAAAATTTATATAACAAATAATTTCTTATAAATTTAATAGTTAAAAAATAGAGATTTATCGAAGTTTATTTTTCTGGCCAAACTAGAAAAACTCTTTAAAAAGAATGAATGAATGAAAAAAAAAAAAAAAAAAAAAAAAAAAAGGGGAAAAAAGGGGAGCAATGGATGCTTGACGCAGCAGTCCCTTTCTAAACCATGGAAAAGAAACAAAATTTTATGTGTGCCAGATATTTTAATGGAGAAACTCTAATTAACTTGTTAAAACATTCCCATGTGCATTAATTAAATTGAAAATTTTGTAAAAACTATTCAGCCAATATATTGTGCGGTAACATGTGTAAAAATTTAGTCCATTTTTTGTAATAAAAACCATGTCTTTTGTTGTTTAATTAGTAGACTTTGAAATTTTGAAAGTGACCAAGGGATTGAAGATTGAGTGGCATTAATATGTATTTTTATGGAAAAAATCATAAAAAGAAAATATCATATATTTATCTTGAATAATTTATACAACTTAAGTTATAATTTAAATTGTATATATAAAAAAGTATATATTATAACAAAAAAATTAAATTTAAATTTATATAAAAAATTATTGTAATAATATAATTTGAGTCATGAGTTAAATTAGGTAAATAAATACACTCTAATTGTTTTTAAAAAGTTTTATGGACTTACCTAATTTTATTACGTTGTTCCAAAAAGTTGTGCTGACAACTATACTATTGCTTTAATTATTATTTTTTTGCAGGGAATACCAAGACCACTGCCACTGCTTGAAAATGAAAGCGCTTGTACATAAATAGCTTATCCAATGTGACTAGGAAAAGAAATAAAGAAGCTTAACCAATGAGGGGGAAAAAAAAGTAAAGGCAAGAAACTATAACGTTTTACTTAGGGGATGTTATTTTTTATATTCATCTTTGATTCTAAATTATGATTTATGATTTTCTATAGTATTTTTTCTCACAAAAAATACACATAAAATAAAAATAGTTCTGAATCATGATTTTGAATACATAAACCAAACGTCATTTAAAAAAATATAAAAAAAAAAAGAAAACTGCAACTCTGCATCATTTAACGCGCCGACGTGCGTGTTAAAATGATAAAACACAAAGAGTGCCATAGTTTTTTTTTCTTGAAGGTTCTAATTGAGGTTTATTTTCATAATTACCTACCAAATTATATCTTGTTTCAAAATACCTTTTAATTTTTCAAAACAATTCAAAATATCACTGATATATTGAAAACGAATCAAAATTCCCCCTTCATCAATTTTTTCCTTCATCAATTTCCGTCTATTATTTTAACGGAATAACTGATGTGGCATACCATTAAAGCTTACTAAAATGCATTAAAATTCTGATTCTAATTAAATCTATAAAAATTAATTCTGATTCTAATTAAATCTATAAAAATAAATTTAATTATTTCAAAAAAAAAAGAAACCCTAATTTAATTTCAACCCTTGATCTAAACAAATCCAATCTCAGTCCTTGATTTTGGTAAGACTTAAGATGAAGAAAACTCTAGGAATAGCAGCCCCCTTTACTGCCGCCCATGTCCTCCCTTAGCACAGCCTCCATTCTCCACCGAAACGTACGACTACTCGACCTTCTACCTCTTTTGATAAGCCCCGTAAGCGGCGAATCTCCTCGAAGGGAGGAGGGCCGGTAGATTAGGCTTGGAAATTGCTCAAAAAAGAAGGGGAGGACGAAATCGTGTTGTTCGGCTCGACGCTGGAATGTCTGTCGGAGAGGCTTGGGAACAAGGCCTTGGTTGCTCCCGATAATGAAGAAAAAGTTGGGGGAGGGACTATTGCAATGATAGATGGCTCGTGGGAGGATCCAAGAGCGCACAAATGGCGGATAGACTCTGACGCTCGCAGCGGTCTTCCAACGTGCTTGTACTGAGGTCGAAGTACGACGACAATGAGGATAGGATGGGCGGCCAGTAGGGATTGAGGGTGTGATGAGGCGGTAGGGAATGGTGTTCCAGGATTTTTCTTTTCAAATAAATTTTTAGATGAAGGGCTCATATTGTTTTTAAGGAATGAAAATTTAAATTCGTGGTTGACATTAAATGGGGTGTTTTCTTAACATTTATTTTTTATATTCCTTTTACTTAGAGAATTAATTAGAGTCTTAATACACTTAGTTAATAGCTAATGAGATGTCACGTCAGCTATTCCGTCAAAATAATTGACGGAAGTTGACAGAAGGGGCATTTTGATTTGTTTTCAATATATCAAGAGGTATTTTGAACTGTGTTAAAAAATTAGACGACACTTTAAAATAAAGTACATAATTCAAGGGGTAATTATGAAAATAATCCTCTAATTTATACTCCGTAGGAGCGAAAGAAAAAAAAATAAAAAGAAAACACATGAAAGGAAGCAAATGTGAAGGAAAAAAAAATTGATTTTCTGTTGTTTGGTATAATAAGAGAAAAAAAAATGCTAAATGATTATTTTGTCAATTACTTAATATTAATTTAGATTTAAAAATGAGAAAAAAATTATTTTAATTATCAATGAGCAGATTTAAGTTTTTCACCTAATGTAAAGAGATAAAAATTAATGAGCCCCCACTATAATTTTTATCCATCCCATTTTTCTATCTCTGCTTTCTTCTTTTTTACTTATGTGGCGTTTGGTTCATGAATTCAAATCATGTTATTAGAATTATTTTTTATTTACGTGTATTTTTTATGAGAGAAAATATTATAGCGAATTACGAATCATGATTCAAATCAGGGAACGAATCTAGGTACCAAACGAACTCTAAATTATTATTATTTTCTATCAAATAATCACTCCACCTACTTCTTCCGTGTTTTCCATCGTACCAAACATGAATTAGTGT